GATGGTCATAATCATCCACACTCCAGCTGCAAAATAACAACTGAGTGAGTTATTCCACCGTACCTTGTCCTGATGGACTGAGACTAACTCTGATGATAGACACTAGTCATAGGACTCAGCTGAATGCACTTCTATCTTCCTAGCAATGGAGGGGCAAGCGCCCTGGCTCCTGAAAGCAAAATTTAGAAAAACGGGAATGGCCAATGGTTGAGAATATTCCTATGACAAAATGCTATAAAAGCCAAAACAGCAACCAAAGAGCTTACAGAAGAGATAAATAGAGTATACTGAAACAAAAGGACAGCTCAAAGTGGCTCCTACAGCTAGAATGGCTGGATAAAAGAGAAGATTGTTCAGCCTGTCTTTCCTCCAAAAATCCGCCATTTTTACCACCACTTTGGGTGCGCGTTAATTAGAATCATTTCGGTGCATAAGGTCCATTATTGTATTAATGAATGAGATTTTTTCATATTTTAGGGTAGTTCCAGTCCAGTTGAACATGGACTATATGTGTGGGAGAATTTTATTGCCCGCAAAACTAAAGCAGAAGTTATCCATATAATAGCACACAGTTACGGGGGAATTGTCACAGTTGAATTAGTCGGTTCATTTCATCATTGTTCAGTAATACTTCATGATTCTTTAATAGGCAAAAAAATTTTCTGATGACTTCAGTAAACGAGTTAAAAAGATAGCCTTCACAGATTCTGTTCATGACTTGGACACTCAGAAAGCACCAGGTGATGTTAGACGATATTTCACTAGAGTAAGGAATGACTGATACTTATCATCCTATTATGATCCTATGCTGTCTATAATAGGTTGCTGTCAACTGGGTCAGTAGTAATGATCCTTTGGATACACCTCAAGAATACGGTAGACGTGAGGTGAAGAGGGTCTCAGCAGGTTTGTCTAAAATGTACTATAGAATTCAGATTAGGTTTTTACTATTAGTTAGTTACTTGAACATTAGGTTTTTGTACTTAAGACCTTAAAAGTTAGACATGTACATCATTAGCAATTGGGAACATTTGTGCATAATGGTCATGTACATGTACACATACTACACAATCATCATTTCATCATTTGAAGCTCTAGTTTTTACATAACATTGAATGGATGATCAGTATAATGATGTTCCCTTGAAGTATAAAAATCACCATTCACTCTGCTATAATACTTTTGTTGCAGGTACACCAAAACATCCAGAAACGTCATGGTTTGCTTACGAGTCCATTTTCAAGTTTCTACAAGATCCATTGTTATGAAAAATAGTAACGCTTAGTTATATATTTATTTTGTATTTTATTTTTGATCTTGATAACAAAATATTTAAGTAGAAAAAAACACAATTATAATAACTATTGATACAACACTTCTGTTTGTGAAGATTTGTTAATTTGAAGCAACTGTAAAAATTTGTAAAAAAATCCAATTTTGATTGGAATCAGCTCAAAATTTGTACACAACATAAGTACATGTATATGCATCAGAAAACATTATAAAAATGGAAAATTTTCTCCCAAGCCATATTTAGCAAAATTTGGCTAAAATTTAATCTATCCTGAACCACACAGGAGCTCACACTTGTCTCCTAAACTGATCAACACCACTTAGATCTATATAATTGTACAGCTCAGCCTCAGAGGGTAGGAAGAGGCATTATTGGAATATAATTAGATCTATGGATCTACATGAATAAATAATTCAAATTACTATAGGACAAGATAATGTAGTCATTATTTTTACAAGTTATTAATCTATACTATTTCATTTGTCGTTGGTTCACTTTTCTTATTATCTTCACCTTTAGTATCATCATGAGCCTCTAGCTCTGTGTTTGATTGATCCTCCCGCTCAT